AGAGAAAACAAAAAAACATGTTAAAATAGGTACATAATTCATTCGTTTTCTTTTTGGATCTGCCCTCTTAAATAAATCCCAGTTTATTATTCAAAGTCCATTAGGGTTATCTCCTCTACCACTGCATTTCATCTTTTATCCATACGCCGCCATCACACTTCCGTAATTTTCCTTATTACAAACAAATGCATCTGAACGAAACATAACTTAACCCAAACCCAATAAGACCCTCAGCGCCCGCACCCGCACCCGGACTTGCCGCACCCGTGCCAACAATTTCCAAATATCCTAGAGCGCTATTTCTCTCCCCCGACCACGCTCCCGGCCGCAGAATGGCAGGCGCAGTCCCCAAGTACACGCATGCTGTCAGTCTTTGGCCAGGTATTGGCCAGCTGATTGCCGTCATTGGCCGTCGCAGCCGTACCTGGCGGGACTTCGTTAGAGCACTATCACTGCCTGTCCGCTGTACCAACACTCAACCGAATATATCCAACTGACTTCTCCAGTCTCGGCAGGAATCCAATTTGTCCGTTACATAATCCGGGTAAGTGAATCTACATCCAGATGAACTTGTCCTGCCGGCTACATCTTCCTGTCGATGGCGGGGCCCCTAAACCAACTTGATTACGGACCCCATAACAGTTTGGGTAAATTTGACATTTCGGTATTCGCGCCCCTGTTTTTTGTGATAACATGCGCTAACGACGTATCGTTCCGCATTCCTCTCTCCCCTCCAGGTCTCTCTCTCTCTCTCTCTCTCTCTCTCTCTCTCTCTCTCTCTCTCTCTCTCTCTCTCTCTCTTCTCTCTCTCTCTCTCTCTCTCTCTCTCTCTCTCTCTCTCTCTCTCTCTCTCTCTTCTCTCTCCCGCTCTCTCTCTCTCATTCTCTCTCTCTCTCTCTCTCTCTCTCTATCTCATCTCTTTCTCTCTCTCTCCTCTCTCTCTCCTCTCTTCTCTCTCTCTCTCTCTCCTCTTCTCCTCTCTCTCTCTGTCTCTCTCCTCCTCTCTCTCCTCTGTCTCCTGTCTCTCTACTCCCCCTGTCCTCTCCCCCTCTCTCGCTCTTCTCTCTTCTCTCTCTCTCTCGGCTCGTCTCTCTCTCTCTCTCTCTTCTCTCTCCTCTCTCTCTTCCTTCCTTCCTTTACTTTCCTTTATCCTCGTTTCCTTCCACTCCCCTTACACCCCTTCCCCATTCCTCTTGCCACCTCCTCTTACCCATTCTTAGCGCGCAACGTTCACATGCTCCTATTACACCCTAATAAAACACAGTTACCGCCCTCATACCACACTCGCGCGGGAACAAGTATTTACACTCCGCCCGGTTCTGCCACCTGGTTGATCTGCTGCCTGAAAACACGGAATTAATTAACAGTCCTTGAACACGCCGAAATCGGGATGCACTGAAAGGTCACTGCTCCTCTCTTTCGATACTCCCCCATCACCATCGCCCCTCACTCTTTTTCGGCTACCCAACCCCCCATCACCGTTCCCCCTCCTTCCCGCTACCCCCTCACAAGTTCCCTTTTCCCCCTCCAATCGCCGCCGTATTACCGTTACCCTCTCCCCTCACCCCCTAGCAACTCCCTCCCCTTTCCTCTCCTCCCCTACGCCGCTAACCCTACAATTCTTATCACCGCCACCACCATAACCTCAAGAAGTATTTCCCTCGTGCTTCGAAAAGTTTCTTCGCTTTCATTTTTAATACGCGTGATCCGCCGTTGTCTATCTTAATACCTCCTCCCCACAAGCGAATCGAGTCGTAACCTTGCTAATTCCTCCTCCCCTTCCCTCTGTTCTTGAGCCAGAGTTAAAAGCAAGGTATTAAAAAGGAGAGAGCAAAAGAGGAAGAGATAGGTAGAAAGTGGGGCGAGCGGAGGCGAGAAAGCGATGGAGAAGAGGAGTCAACGGCAAGAGGGCGAAAGGAGGACAAGAGGAGGAGGAGAGGAGGACGAAGAAAGAGGAGAGTGAGGACGAAGGAGAGAGAGAGAGCGAGGACGAGAGGAAGGAGGAGAGGAGAGCAAAGAGGAGGAGGAACAGCAGGAGCCGACGAACGCGAGAAAGGAGAGAGGAGAAGCAGAGAAGGAGAAGGAAGATAGGAGAAACGAAGAGAAAGAAAGAAGGAAGAAGAAGAGAGATGAGAAGAAGTAAGAAGAAGAAGAAGAAGAAGAAGAAGAAGAAAGAAAGCAAAAAAAAGAAGAAAGGAAGAAGAAGGGAGAGAGGAAAAGAAGAAAGGAAAGGAGGAGGAGAAGGAGGAGCAAGGAGAAGGGAGCGAAGAAGGAGAAGAGAAGGAGAAAGGCAGGAGAAGAGACAGGAGAAGAAAGGAGGAGAGGAAAGGAGACTAAGAGGCAAGAAGGAGAAGAAAACGGTAGAAGAAGGAAAAGGAAAACTGAAAAAAGGAAAAGGAACAAAACGGGAATCAAGGAAAAGGAAAAAAAGAAGCGAGAAGGGAGAAAACAGGAGGAGGCAGAGAGAGAGAACCAGGAAGAGGACGCGAGAGCAGGAAAGCGGGAGGGTGAAGAAGAGAGAGATGAGAGGGGCAGGAGCCGGAAGGGAAAAAACGAGAAACCCGACTTAACGGTCAGCAGAAAAGGAAGAAGAGCAAAGAGAAACGAAAGCAAAGACGACGAGAGGAACTTGTAAGCTCTACGAGAGACTGCACGAGTCAGGACCAGAGAGAGAGCGGAGAGCGAGCATAGAGAGGAGAGATGAGTAGAGATGTCGAGAACGAGAGAAGAGAAGACGAGAAGAAAGTGCCGGAAGAAGGACAGAGGCTAGAGAGAGAGAGAGAGGATGGGAGAGATGAGAGGGAGAGAGAGAGGGAGAGGGAGAGGCTGAGAGAGAGATGGCGAGAGGGAGGGACGAGGGAGAGGAGACGGGGGGGGAGCAGAAGAGACAGAGAGAGCAAAACTAGAGGAGAGGAAGAATGAGAGAGGAGACGAGACGAGAGTGACGCACCGAGGAGGAGAGAGAGAGAGAGAGAGAGAGCAGAGAGCGAGAAGAGAGAAGGGAGGAGGAGGGAGGGAGGGAGGGAGGGAGGGAGGAAGGGAAGGGTGAGGAACGGACGAGGAGGTGATAGAGATGAGAAGTGAAGGGAGGGAGGAGAGAGAGGAGGAGAGAGGAGAGCCGAGAGATGAGAGAGAGAGAGAGGCGAAGAGAAGAGAGGAGAGGAGGGAGGAGAGAGAGAAGCGAGGAGACCGAGAGAGGAAGACAGGACGGAGAGAGAGAGAGAGAGACTGAGAGAGAGAAGAGAGAGAGAAACTGTAGACAGATATGGAAAAAATTTTATTATGAGAGCCCAAACATCCAGCGAGATGCTTTTATCCCCACATCACTGCTCTGCCAACACTCCACCATCCAGCCGACACTTGATATTTACCGCTCCCTCACCTCCCCTTCCCCCGATCCTTGTCAACGCACAAAAATCTCCCGCCGATCCTCTTCTTTGAGTTCCTTCGCTCTGACCTCCAATCCTCCCTCCCCCCTCGCCCCCACCCCTCTCTCCTCCATCCGCCCGTCCCTTCCCTCCCCTCGCCTCCCCTCTCCCTTTCCCCCCACCCATCGGCCCCCCCATCCTTCCCCTCGCCCTCACCCACCCACCCACCCCTTCCCTCACTCCACACCCATCAGTCCCCCTATCTCCCTCTCCAACCCACCGCCACCCCTCACTCCCCTCCCCCGAGCC